GTACGTCGACTCTCTCTCTCTCTCTCTCTCTCTCTCTCTCTCTCTCTCTCTGACACGCACATACACATCGATGTGGTAACCTAATTGAATTATTTAAGTAATTTAATTCTAAAGATGAGATCACATTTTTTATCGCTTATCAAAATTAGATTAGTAACAGAAAATGATATCCTTTATCATTCTTCCATCATTACGCTTCTAAGTAAAAGTAAATGGTCAAAGAGCAATGGTTCTGAATACGAAATTATGGCCCAATTTCTAAGATTGGAAATTAATATCATTAACGAGGAGATCGCGCTGGAAAGAAAGAAGGAGGAAAGATGGGAGCGTCTTTGGAAGAGAGCGAAACTGTCGAGCGACTTGCAAAACTTTCGGCAAAGTGGTCGGGCGGGATGCCTACTGCCGACTTAACATCTTTGTTAGCCCGCGGAAACAAGGCATCATAAACTGATGGTTGGGTAGCGTCTTACGTCTTGAGAACGGGCGATGCATAAAGAACGAGGGGATTCACGGGCGGCGGTTTGAGAAGTACGACGTCGACGCCCGATGAATGTAATTCGCTTTTTAACGCCTCCGCGACACCTTCCACGGCTTTTCGGGATGCGCTGAACGCCACCAGTCCGGAGCCCGCCTTGCTGCCGTAGCTCGTCTCGGAGTCGCCCAAAAGAACGATGCGGCCTTAGGAACAGACATTTTCAATAAGCCGCTTAAAGAATGAATACGGTTTTGCTACCGGCGAATAATCGGTCTTGCCGCTGCGCCGAGTGCTTTACTCCGTCAGGCATAGACGCGCTATTGTGCATTACCGCAGCTTTCAAAAGAGCAATTCTCGAGAACTCGGTCTCTTGAAGAACTTGGCTAACGGAAAAATCTTAATTTAATTACTTCTAGCAAAATTTTTAATTTTTAAATTTAAAATTAAAAGATATCTCAACCGATATCTCGTTATAATGTAATTTATGACAAAGAATTTTTCTCGTCGATTAAAAAGCAATTATCTTCTTCAAAGATAGAAGAAATATTGGTCTTTTATATAGCGAGAGATAATAATGATTCCTCTAATCTTAAAATTTTAACAAGTATACTCAACAGACCTCTCTTGATGCGCAAAAGAGGGATGAACACTCTGGCTGTTCTTAGCGGAGCAACTAAATTATGACGCAGCATAGACTCCCACATTGAACTGGTCTGTTTTTCTATGATACCTGGTAAAACCAAGCCACCCGTGTGCACGACTGCCCAGAGACCTGCAATTAAATAAAGTTTAAGTTTTAGTGTGCTTGAAGCTATCGTCTTTTCAGGTCACGTAGAAATGAAGCATATGAAATTTATTTTGTTTGACCTTCGCTCGTGTTGACGGGAACGTTATGTACAAGCAAGTGCAAAGCAATCGCGAATATATATTGCGCAGGACGAGTGCATATCGAGCATTTGAGATTGCATTTCCAATCAAAAGTATGACTTATGAAACAAAAGTGCATTTCCATTTGGTAGCCGTGCGCTAACTGAACAAATCTATTTGGCGTTTCCATTTCATTTTTCGCGACGAATAACACTCTGACAGTTCG